GGACCCCCTTCGTTTCCTGCTGATAATGACCTGGCCTCCCCTGGCCCCAGCAGACTCATCTGGGATTAGAGTTGTCCCTGGAGGTGGCATTTTCCAGTGATGGCCTGAGAATGCCAGGTTCTCCTTGTCTTTCACACCTTGCCTGGGACAATGACATTTACCCAGACAGGAGGATGGAGGGGTCATGGATCATTTCGCCCTCCCTGACCCTTGTCCAGGCGGCCTGGCTCCCGGAAGGGCATTGCTTTCTGTGATGATGAAAATATTCTGTAGCTTGCTGTCCAGTACGGTAGCCATTAGCCATGTGTGGCTACTGAGCTTATGAAATGTGGCTGGTGAGAACCAGGAACTGAATTTCAGAAGTTTATTTTAACTCACGTAGAGTTAAATTTGAATAACTGCATGTGGCTAGTGGGTGCTGCATTGGACAATGTCAGCTCCGTGTCATCCCCCAACCTGCCACACTCGGTCCTGCCTCTGGGTCCTGACATCACCTTCTCTGCAGACCTTCCCTGAGTATCTGTCACAAAGCTCTCCGACTCTTGCTCACAGCCCATCTCTAGGTGTCATTGCCTTTTCCTTCTCTGCATTTGTCACTGGCTGAGAGCAACTTATTTCTGTAATTTTTTTGGTCTCCTCCCACTCTGCGCATAAAGGCAGCGAGATCTAGTTTGTCCTTTCATCACTAATCTCTAAAATCTTAACTGGAGGGGATAAATGTGGGCAGGGGATTCCTCCTTTGATTTGTCCTAAAATGTCTTGATAATTGAACAGTCAACCGTGAGTCCTTTTTTCCCTTCTCCCTCCAAGAACTTGTCTCAGATGAAAACCCATCAGTAGAACTGTGGAAACAGAGTGATCTGCTTCTGTGCCACCTGGACACCTCACAGCTCTGAGCCCCAGGGGGAGCTTTGGCCATGATCCCGGAGCCTCTGGGATCCTCGGTGTAGAAGGGACCTGACACTCCACTGGCTCAGAGCACAGACCCAGAAGCCGGTAGAAGGCCTCTTGGTCTTCTGGACGATAACTGGATCTTCTCTTGCTCATCCTGAGTTTCGTCCCCTCAACATGATTGACAGTCCACATGCTCCTCCTCTGACTGCTTTTCTTCCAGGACTTCAGCTCGGAGACAGCTTCCGAGGGGGTGGGGTTGGAGGCCAGGGGGCTGCTCTCCTGGGCGGCTGCAGGAACAAGGCTCCGTGTGAGCACAGACCTGACCCACGTGGGAGGTCCTGAGTCTTCCCTTGCAGGTAACCCTGAAGGTTGAACCCTGCCTCCTGAGGACAAGACAGCAAGTGGTTACTCAGCAGTAACTGATGTTCTGTTCAGGTCCAAGGAAGCTGAGGACACCACAGCTCCCTTGACATCCATCAGTCTTTTCCTCTTCTGGCCTCCCATCCTCCTGGTTCTCTGCTCAGAGACAGCCTCTGGAGGGGCAGAACTGGAGGCCAGAGGGCTCCCATCCTGAGCAGCTGCCAGGAGAGAGGAAGGGCCCTGTGTGATCAGGGGAGGGGCCCACCTGGGAAACACTGTGCTCTTCCCTTCTCACTCACCTTGAGTATGTTGTATGTGACATCTGAAGGAATAAGAATGACCATCACCCCCTTTGCACTTTGTCTATAAAGGAGGGTAGGATCTGAATTAATATTTACCTTTCTTTGCCAGGGAAAAACTGCTCTCCTGTGCCTCTTTCCATGGATCTTTCTCTCTGGGGGGCACCTCTATGGAGACAAATGTGAAACTCTCTGGTCATCGATGTCTTTAATAACTACAAAGGTGAACAAGATAGTGACCTCCTGTCTCACTCTGGACACCCTTTCCCCTGCCCTGCAGACCCACACCCATGAGAGTCCAGGGAGGAAGAAGTGATGCTGGAGCCATGATGGTCTATCACCTTCATTCATTCAGAGAGCGGGGATAAGTGTGAATGACCACACACACCTGGCTTCCCTTCCATGCCTTTTCCTCTGACTTTTTTGCTGGGTCCTGTTGGCTTGCAGCAGTCTCTGAGGCAGCCGATGTGGAGCTCAGAGGGATAGCCTGTCTTTTCTGGGTACAAAAAAATGGAAAGAAACCAACTTGATTCTGACCAGGCCATTTCTTTCCACTTAACCTGCTTCTTGTGAGACCTAATGATAATTAAAATGGCAATAACATTAGCTAACAGTAATTGCTTAGTAAACTTCAGATGTTGATTAGTGCATTGGGATTACCTCATTCAGTCCTTACAAGGAGGTGTGAGGTAAGGTGTATAACTTGCCTGTTTAAGATGAGGAAATGCTGACCTAATTTGTCTAGGATTTGTTCCTTGACTGTGGCTAGAGCTCTTTGGACTTGGGATTAGAACTCGTGTCTGAGCGGTGCTCAGGGGAAGAAGGCTGGTGGCAGCCACAGTTGAGCCTCAGCCACATTTCCATTAGGGTTGAGCTGGGCCACCTTACACGCTTACGTCGTCGGCTCTGCCTAAATATCCCTGTGAACCACTATAAAGTTACAGCAATCCAACCTGGCAAAAATCTGACCAGAGTAGCCCAGGCCTGTCCGAAATAGCCGTGGAAGCTGATTGAGGCAGTTCCCCCTCAAGAAGGCCAGTGCCGCCTTCCGCCTCTGAGGACAGTGTTCCTCCTGGGTGACAGTGTCCACATGCTCCCGGGGCTCTCAAGGTCGAGTTCTCTGTAGAGTCGCTTTACTGTCTCTCCTCCTCCCCCCATATTCATTTTGTTCTCCTTTTGCCCACATCCCCTCCTGTTCTCTTTTCTCCCCAAACTCGAGACCTATTTGTATTCCTACTGCATCCCAGTCACTCATCTGGAGGTTCACAGGTGATCCCTTCCACATCCCCTGCGACAGCTTGGAGGAACATAGTTCAGGACCCAAGACTCACCTTAGTACAGAAAAGAGTGACGCCCACCCCAAGTAAGCACCTGGAGGCTCCCTCAAGATCTAGGCCCTCACCCTTACCTAGAATGCAGGCTCACAACAGCGTGAGAAGAGCACTGACTGTAGCCAAGTGTTCGGGATCAAATGGCTTCCGAGATTCTGGAGCCCTTGCTATGAGTCACTGATGACATCACACCATTCCACCAGGAACTGCTCTTTAGTTTATAAAAGGCTCTCAAGGAAAAGACTGTGGGCCTCAAGGAGGAAGGAGTTAGTGTCCCAGCCTGAACACTGGGATCACTTCCTCTTACCCCAGTATTACCTCTGAACCTCATCTTGTGTTTCATCTAACCAATTAATGATTCCAAATGAAAGTGATTCATCCACATATCAAAAAATTGAGAAAATACAAAATTAAAAGTTGATATTCATAGTAAAGTTATCAATGTAGTTTATTTATTTGATATTTAATTATTTATTTATTAAACATCTTTATTGGAGTATAATTGCTTTACAATGGTGTGTTAGTTTCTGCTTTATAACAAAGTGAATCAGCTATACATATACATATATCCCCATATCTCCTCCCTCTTGCGTCTCCTTCCCAATGTAGTTTATTTTTACTCCCTTCTGATTTGTGTTTTATGATTATATTGAGATTTTAAAAATTAACTTTTTCATTTTGAGATAATTGTAGATTCATAAATGCAGTTGTAAGTAATGACACATCCTATATATCTTTCCCCAAATTTCCTTCAGTGGTACAAAGTTGAATATCTATAGCACAGTATCACAATAGGAAATTGGCATTGGTACAACCCATTGACCTTATTCAGATTTCCCCAGTTTTATATGCAATCACTTATGTGTGTATTTAGTTCTATGCAATTTTATCACATGTGTACACTCATGTACACCACCACCAAGGTATAGAACAGTTCTGTTATAAGGATCCTTCATGCTACTTTTTTTATAGTATCTCCATCCACAACCCCTGGCAACCACTATTCTCTTCTTCATCTATATAATTTTGTTATTTCAAAAATACATAAACGGAAACAGTGTATAATCTTCTGATCTGGCTTTTATTTTTAATTTGCATAATTCCCTTAACTGTTTAATTTGTTGCATAAATCAATAGTTTATCCCTTTTTGTTGCTTAGTAGGAATCCATGGTTCTATGGTCAAGTGCATATTTAGTTTTGTAAGAATCTGCCATACTCTTCTAGAGTGGCCCTATCATTTTACATCCCCACCAGGAATGTATCAGTGATCCACATCACTGTCAGCATTTGGGTTATCACTTTTTATTTTAACCGTATCTCGTTGTGGTTTTAATTGGCACTTCCCTAATGATATTCCATAATGATATTGATTTCATGTGTTTATTTGCCATCTGTATATCCTCTTTGGTGAAATCTCTGTTCATGTTTTTTTCTAATTGAATTGCTTCTTTGCTGTTGAGTTTTGAGAGCTTTTTATGTATATCCCAGATACAAGTCCTTTGTAAGATACATGGTTTGCAATATTTTCTCCCCATCTATAGCGTATCTTTTAACATCCTCTTTTTTTTAACCATTTTTTCTTCTGGTTTTATTGAAATGTAATTGAGGTACAACACTGTATAAGTTTAAGGTGTACAGTATAACTACTTGACATGTGTATATTGCAAAATGGTCACCACAGTAAGTTTAGTTAACACTTATTACCTCATATAGTTACAAAAATTTTTTTCCCTGTAATAAGAACTTTTAGGATTTACTTCCTTAGCACCTCTCAAGTACACCATGCAGCAGTGTTAATTATATAGTCACCATGCTGTACATCACACCCTCAGGACTTATTTCTTTTATAATTGGAAGTTTACACCTTTCAACCACCTTCAACCATTTCACCCGCCCCCCCAGTCCCTGCCTCTGGTAACCATCCATCTGTTCTTTGTTTCTATCAGTTTTTTAAAAATTTTATTGAAATATAGTTGATTTACAATGTTGTGTTAACTTCTGCTGTACAGCAAAGTGATTCAGTTATACATATATATATATATATATATATATATATATATATACATACATATTCTTTTTCATATTTTCCATTATGGTATATCAGGATATTGAATATAGTTCCCTGTGCTATACAGTAGGACCTTGTTGTTTATCCATCCTATAGATAGTAGTTTGCATCTGCTAATCTCAACCTCCCAATCCATCCGTTCCCTACCCCCCTTCCCCCTTGGCAACCGCAAGTCTCTTCTCTATGTCCGTGAGTCTGTTTCTGTTTTGTAGATAAGTTCATTTGTGTCATATTTTAGATTCCACATATAAGTGATATCATATGGTATTTGTCTCTTTCTGACATACTTTGCTTAGTATGATAATCTCTAGGTCCATCCATGTTGCTGCAATGGCATTATTTCATTCTTTTTTGTGGCTGAGTAATATTCCATTGTATATGTGTACCACATCCATTCATCTGTTGATGGACATTTAGGTTGCTTCCATGTCCTGGCTATTGTGAATAGTGCTGCTATGAACATAGGGGTGCATGTATCTTTTTGAATTAAAGTGTTATTCGGATATATGCCCAGGAGTGGGATAGTGGGATTGCTGGATCGTATGGTAACTCTATTTTCAGTTTTTTGAGGAACCTCCATACTGTTTTCCATAGTGGCTGCATCAGTTTACATTCCCACCATCAGTGTAGGAGGGTTCCCTTTTCTCCACATCCTCTCCAGCATTTGTTATTTGTAGACTTTGTTTTTGTTTTTTGGGCTGTGCTGCATGGCACATGGGATCTTAGTTCCCTGATCAGGGATCAAACCTGATCAGTGCCCTCTGCAGTGGAAGCACTGAGTCCTAACCACTGGACCACCAGGGAATTCCTGTTTTTTTTTTTTTTTTTCGGTATGTGGGCCTCTCACTGTTGTGGCCTCTCCCATTGTGGAGCACAGGCTCCGGACGTGCAGGATCAGTGGCCATGGCTCATGGGCCCAGCTGCTCTGCGGCATGTGGGACCTTCCCGTACCGGGGCACGAACCCGTGTCCCCTGCATCGGCAGGCGGACTCTCAACCACTGCGCCACCAGGGAAGCCCAGGGAATTCCTATTTGTAGACCTTTTAATGATGGCCATTCTGACTGGTATGAGGTGATATCTCATTGTAGTTTTGATTTGCATTTCTCTAATAATTAGCAGTGTTGAACACCTTTTCATGTGCCTATTGGCCATCTGTATATCTTCTTCGGAGAAAGGTCTATTTAGGTCTTCAGCCCATTTTTTGATTGGGTTGTTTTAAACTGCTTTATTGATGTATGTTACATAATATTCACTCATTTTAAACATACAATTCAATGAATTTTAGTGTATTTACACAGAGTTCAACAGTCATCACCACAATCTAATTTTGGAACATGTCCATCCCCCCAAAAGATCCCTCCTGCTCATTTGCAGTCACTCCCCATTCTCACCTCCAGCTCTAGGCAACCACTACTGCGTGTCTGTTTTTTTTTTTTTTTTTTTTTTTTTTTTTTTTTTACTGGGGATTGGTAGAGAAATCAGTTTGAAAAAATATTTCATTGCTAAAAGCCATTTGAAATTTACTCATTTTAAGCTCTTTATTGATAAATGAGAGAACAGTGGCCCTGAAAGCACCAGGGTCTAGCCCAAGACCATACATAAGCACTACATGGCAGAGGCCAGATCCCTTGAAAAGCATTCTTCCCACTGGGAACCTGGGTGCCAAGCTTCGGGGTGGAGTGACCGCAGGTTCTGCCATGGTTCCCTCTGATTGGTGCCCCATGAGAAGTGCCCTGTAGGGTCCGGAGCTGAGGGAGACGGGGGAGGCATCTTTTCCCTCCGAGACACTATTCCTGACTCTGGTTGGGTCTGTGGTCTCCACCCCTAATTCCAGCCCATGGAGGGGTTATCCTTGAAGCCAGGGCTGCCCTTCAGTTTGGTGGCTAGATTCCTGCTTCCTCCATTCAGATTTCACACCAGATAAGTCTTCTCCTAGTGAGATGTGACTCTTGGAGGGCAATTTTTTTTTTTTTTTTGTGGGGAGTGGGGAGTGTGGTGAAGGGAAAGGGAATAGGAGCTTCTTTATGGAGTCTCTGTGTTCTGGAAATTTTTATGTCCTAGAAATCTCCAACATACATGGGGTGGGGGAGGCAAGTGTGGCATCGTCACTAGCGTGGACTCCACCACAGATGTCTTCTGGGACCAGTCAGCAGCACCACGGTGAAGCCAGCACAGAGCTGGAGGCCTAGAGGGTGCCAGAGGGCATCAGTCATGGGGAGTGGCTGTCACCCACCCCAGTTCCACATGTTGGCTTAGGCGGGGGATTCTTAACTCGCGGGAGTCTGGGTCTTAACGATGTTTCAAAAGAAGCCAGAAATTAGATTTGTTTAATGTGAAATCTTGCAAATTTTAAACAATGACAACAAATTTAAAAGTTTTGAATGCCATGTGGGGGGCACACAGGACGCATCAGCTTCTGAGCCTGGCCAGGGGCTCTGCTCTTCAGGATTTATAGCTCCAAGAACTGCTAGCAGGGGATCCCAGGGTGGGTGGGGGGATGGGGGGCTTGACAGAGAGTATTCTCTCTCTTCTTTCGCTTCCTCAGGCCATGTCTATGCAGGACTAAATCGAAGGGGTCACAGTTTTCGTTTATTATTTATTTATTTTTGGCTGCGTTGGGTCTTCGTTGCTGCGCGCGGGCTTTTCTCTAGTTTCGGCGAGCGGGGGCTACTCTTCGTCGCGGTGCGCGGGCTTCTCATCGCGGTGGCTTCTCTTGTTGCGGTGCACGGGCTCTAGGCACGCGGGCTTCAGTAGTTGTGGCTTGCGGGCTCCAGAGCGCAGGCTCAGTAGTTGTGGCTCGTGGGCTCCAGAGCGCAGGCTCAGTAGTGTTGGTGCATGGGCTCAGTTGCTCCACGGCGTGTGGGATCTTCCTGGACCAGGGCTCGAACCCGTGTCCCCTGCACTGTCAGGCGGACTCTTAACCACTGTGCCACCAGGGGAGTCCCTATGCTTTTCCTTTAAAACATTCCCTCTCTCAACTTGTCTGTGACTTGGGTGTTAAGTAGGGTGCTGATGGCCGTGGAGCTTCCTGGGATCATTCTGGAGGCAAGGGGCGGAGAGGTGTGTCCTCCCTGCCTCCCTTCCTGGTGGTGTCGGCTCCCCCAACTTGAGCGGGGAGGAGGAGGAGGCTATCTTGGTCTTTCGGTTAAGTGTTCACCTCTGTTTCCACCCTTCCTGTGATGAGAAGCTCTGCAAAGCTCGTTTCTTTTCCCGTGTGGTGGTAATGGTGGTGATGCTTGTGGTACCAGCCTCTGTATTCCCGTCTTTATGAGACTGCTAGCAGCAAAGTGCAGCAGGGCTCTGTCTCTGGCTGCTGATGCTAGGAAGATGTCTGTGGGTTTCCTCCACTCTCTCTTCCTTGATAGGGTGTGAGCTGTGAACCCACCTGGCTTTCTCTGTGGGTGTTGGTGTTGGTGGTAGGATGTTGGCTGTTCTTTCCTCTGCGGGTTTGCCGCTGTGAGTCCAGGAGGGGGTCAGGAGGATGATTCTTGCGTGGCCTTTGGAAGAACACAGTAGAGACTTTACAGTTTTTTTGTGGAATGGACTCCAACATTCATGTTCGACAGAGGTCGCTGCTGTAGCTGCACGTTGAGAAGGCAACCAACCTTGCTGAGACACACTATCAGGGATTATGAGGGCATCCCCCCCATGCTCTCGGCTGACCAGGTCATATTCGATTACTGAAATTAGAGGAGACCTTTGTTAGGGTTACACCGTCAGCAGCAGAGGAAAAACCATGAACTCACATAGGTACAGCAGAGGATGAATGGAAACATATCCCGTGGGACTTGCTGTTTTCCCCAGTGTGGGTCTGGTGCTGTCCCCGCACTGATAGGCAGGTGTCCTAGATTCATTCTGAGTCACTCTGGACGAGTTAGGTATGCCTGTGATTCTGAGGGTACAGTAATATAATAACCATGAACATACCTTTGTGAACTACACAGCAATGCATGTACATGTACCATTCTCCCCGTAGGGACTAATGACTTAATGACTTTGAATAAAGGTGTGGAACAGCATAGAAGCCACAGTTTAGACTAGGAGGGTAATTTCTGATCCTCAGCCTTAAAGCTGAGTCACCACATCTCACTCTGGAATGCGCCCAGGGACCCAGTACAATACTGTAAATTCATCTCTTGCAGTGGGTGGATGGTATAAACCGGATGCTTTGACAAGATTTGGAGACTGTTTTAAATTGTGAATGGAGATATGTTGGATCCACCAGATGGTACTGAAGTCGAGGAGAACTCCACAGACAATGATCCCAAACCCCACAGCGGGCAGTCTCCTCGCTGTGCCGGGCACTCCCTGAGTACTGCCCTCAGATGACCAGAGCTTACGGAAGAGCTTGCAGCGTTGACCTGGATCGTGAAAGGTTTGGGGGAAACCTCTGTTTATTCTCAAGAATCTTGAATCACCCCCCCTCTCTCCCCTCCCCACTCTCTTGGTGCATCTGGGACTAACAGCAGTTAATGTATGATCCCCAGAGTGTGGGTGGAAGCCAAGTGGAGCAATCCTTTTTGACCTGTGCATCTCTTGTCTCGCTTCGTCACTTAGCTGGGGTCTAGCTGGAGTTCTTGCTGAGACAAATCTGCTCTGAGCCTTTTTCTCAAAGAGCCCCTTTTGTACACTGAGTGCTCACCTTTTTCCATTGCGGGGAGAGGAGTAGCTTAGTTACTATCTTCTCAGCTGGGCAGCGAGAGGAAATAGAGTTCCCAAGTAGAGTTGTCATGGATTTGGCTTTGAGAAAGAGCTTGGAATTGTTCTGCGTATTTTGGGAACATTTAGATAACGTTTCCTGTTACATCTTTTGAGAAGTTTCCTTTGCTCTGAAGTTTATTTGATATGAATGTAGCCACTCTGTTTTCTTTCGACTGATGTTTACATAGCATATCTTTTTCCATTCTTTTATGTTCAACCTACCTCTATTGTTATATTTGTAAGTTCTCTTTTTTTTTTTTGCGGTACGCGGGCCTCTCACTGTTGCGGCCTCTCCCGTTGCGGAGCACAGGCTCCGGACGCGCAGGCTCAGCGGCCATGGCTCACGGGCCCAGCCGCTCCGTGGCATGTGGGATCTTCCCGGACCGGGGCACGAACCCGCGTCCCCTGCATCGGCAGGCGGACTCTCAACCACTGCGCCACCAGGGAAGCCGCTATTGTTATATTTGAAGTGAATTTCACGTAGACGGTATATGGTTGGGTCAAGTTTTCCAATGCACTCTGCCAATCTCTGCCTTTTAATAGGTGTATTTATTTATTCATTTATTGGCCACACTGTGCGGCTTGCAGGATCTTAGTTCCCTGACTAGGGATCGAACCCGTGCCCCCTGCAGTGGAAGCGCAGAGCCTTAACCACTGGACCGCCAGGGAAGTCCCTAGGAGGTGTATTTAGACTATTTACATTTAATGTCAGTATTTATATGTTAGGGCTAATCTGCCATTTTCTTTTTTGTTTCCTTTTAGTTCTCTCCTTGTCTCTCTGTTTCCTTTTTCCTGCCTTCCTGTGAGTTGCTTGAATATATTTTATAATTTCATTTTGGCTTTATAGTGTTTTTGAGTGTATTTCTTTGCGTCAGTTATTTAGCGGTTGCTCATCTGAGAGTCCAGGATCTCTATGTGGCTTCCACTGGCACTGCATGTGGTGGGGGCATGCCTCATTGTTGCCAGGCATGGATGAAAATTCTGGGCTGTCACTCAGCCCTGACTGACACCATCCTGGCTGTGGAGGGAAGGGCAGAGCATCTTGTTACAACCAGAAGAGGGTGGAAGTTTAGGTTCTTCACTCAGCCTTCAGTAACAAGTGCGGGTCCCTTTTTTTTCATGGTGTTTGTCTGGAGTATGGTGGTTACTGTCCAAAAGTTTTCTGTCTTGCTAGGTTGCTGTTTTCCTGATCCTTTGGCCAAAAAGAGCAGGCTTTTCTTGGGGGATTTTTTTTTTTTTTTTTTGCAGTACGTGGGCCTCTCACTGCTATGGCCTCTCCCGTTGCGGAGCACAGGCTCCGGACGCGCAGGCTCAGCAGCCTTGGCTCACGGGCCCAGCCCCTCTGCGGCATATGGGATCCTCCCGGACCGGGGCATGAACCCGCATCCCCTGCATCGGCAGGCGGACTCTCAACCACTGCGCCACCAGGGAAGCCCTTGGGGGCTTTTTTGTCTGCACCCATTGAAGCCTCTAGGTTGCTGGCTTCTTCAGCCCAGTCTGAGATATAAGAAGCCAAGAATAAACCTGAAAAACTTACTGCCACGTTGTTCCTCAGGTCCTGGGGTCCTTATCCAATCTGCTTTTTTCTCTCCACCTTTGAGTCTTCTCATGTTTCATATATAATATCCAGGTGTTATCACTGTTCTTAGCAGGAAGAATAGGGAAAAGTTCATCTACTCCATCTTGTTTGTAACCAGAGGTCCAGGACAGTAACATTTTTGTTGCGGTTACATTTTGAGTTTCTAGCCTTTATTGTTATTATTAACAAACTCTGTTCAACACAGGAAGTGGTTCCCCTGAAAGCTGCATTCATAAATACAAATTATCAGCAAATTAGGAAGAAAAATGCAAACTGAGAGTGCTTCACGTATACTTCTTTTCCTTTTCATTCGATCATGTTTATACCTAACAATTTTGAAAACGAAGAGGTGACAATCACATTCTTCTATCAATCCATGAAATCAGAAGAGACTATAAGATGCCTTTGAAGAAAAGTGAAGCACAGAACACTTCTCAGTAATAAAAGAAAGTTATTCTGTAATAACTCACAGAATTATAAGAGAAAAAAGTCAATCTCAAAGGTTATATATTGTATGATCCCATTTATATAGCATTATTGAAATTATAGAGATGGAGAAAATATTAGTAGTTGGCAGAGATTAGGGATGAGGGTAGGAAGTGAGAGTAGGAAGTGAGGGTAGGAAGAGAAGTGCTTATTAAAGAGATAACATGAGGAATCCTTGTGATGGAACTGTTGTGTATGTTGACTCTGCTGGTGGTCACACAAATACACACGTGATAAAATTGCATAGTACCACACACACGCACAAACAACTGAGTGAATGTAAAAGCAGTGAAGCATAAATAAGGTGGATGGATTGTATTAATGGCAATTTTGTGGTTGAGGCCAGATGCACCAGAGACCTCAGAACTCCTCTCCTGCTGGGGATATTGTGCTGTAGTTATGCGGCCACACACTCCCCAGAGACCTCAGTGCCACCTCTCCTGCTGGTGGAGAGCAGAAGACATGTGAGTCTTCCATGGAGGCCGGCGTTGCAGGCAGATGTGGCCTCTAGGTCTCTCTTGTGATGCCAAGGGCGAGAGAAGTGCCCCTGAGCTAGAAAATGTTCGTGACTGTTAGGAAGAGATCCAAGACAGATCCCAGATTTGTGAGACACTATGCTGTTCCAAGCACTCTCCCATCTAACTTTAATAGAAAATGATTATATTTGTAGAAAATGAGAGGCAAAGAAATGAATGAGCTTATGGCAGCTTTGCCATGAGATGCAAAATATCTGCATGGAAAGCAGAGTAGACATGATTGCTGGGGGACATGCATGGAATTTCTCAGTGTTCATTGAGTATCAAACTGAAATGTCAATAAGGGCCAGAAGAAAACTGAAATGTATGAAGTAAGTGGATAAGTAATAAGAGGAGGTATGGGAAATTGCCAACAAACTAGAGATCTTGGTCTCAGTACAAATGTTTTCAAATTCAATTTTTGAATCTTGTAGTGGCCAGCAGCTGCTTGCAGACATGAGAGACAATTCCAGTGAGACTGGTGCCTGTGTACTTGACCGTCCCTACTGTCTGGACACCTTCAGTGCTAGTTGTGATTGTCTTTTCTATACTATGAGCCCAGGAATTAAGCTTGGCTGTGTAACGGAAACACAAATGTCAGTGGCTTAAGCAAGATAGGGTTGTCTGCTTCCGATTACGATGTAGAAAGATATAAACAATTTCCTTCTGTGCTGATAAAAGAATTAACTATATAGAATAAAAAGCATACGTTTCGTGGGGTTTTCAAAGACTGGTAGATGTAAGGAAGCTGCGATGGGCTGTATTGCTGAGGGACACACCCCCTACAGGTGAGTCGAGAGCCCTGGAGTTCTCTGGGGGCAGGTGTTCCGCATGCAAATATCCATCTCCCTGCCCAACAACTCTCTCCCTTCCCCTGGAATTTTGCTGGGGAAGTGGCACTGGAGAAGGGACTGGTCAGCAGAGAGAATGCAGAGAGCATACACATTCCTTGGGTTTCGAGCCCTGCAGGAGGTGGACCTAAAGATGAGCCCAGACTCTCCCAAACAATGGCCTTTCCCCACCATCCAACCACAAGGAAAAGGTGAGTCCCTTAATGGCAGCCGTGCAGGAGGCTGAGGCTGGGCTACGAGAGTTTCTTACAGTAGGTGAAAAGTGGTAGGACAGAAATTCAAGGCAGAAATTGCCAGATTGCATAAAAAAACAAGACCCAACCACACGCTTTTAACACACATGTTAAGTAAAAGGACGGAAAAGGAAAAACATGGCCACGCCCAGAGTCAGTGTGGGAGGGCACTCACACGGGGGTGTGGCTTATTGACACTGAGGGTCGTGGTGCGTGGGGGGGGCACTTGGAGGTAGCATGGCAGGTGGGGGAGGGGAGAGGTGATTCTGGGCTGGGGGAGAACGTCTGTGGCCCGTTGATCCCTCTTCTGGGAATGGCTGCTTGTTCTTCCCCAAAGGAGGCTGAGAAATGCCCACAGCAAGCAGGCTGTCTGAGGACCCCCTAGACTACCAAGGCCTTTCTCCTTCTCTTTCTGTGACCACTTAGGCCTGTCTGGATGGCCTCCCCAGCCCAGGGGACAGGCATGGTCTTACTAAGGCCTCCTTTCCTCTTCCCCTCATAGGTCTGAGAGGGAAACAAAACTCAAGTGCTCCTTCGTTTTAGGTAGAAGGGCTTCGAGGGTTAGAGAACACCTTAGGGAGAGAGTGTGGCTCCAAATATGGTCTGTTGTTCCAGGAGGTAATTAATTATACCAACACTCTGGCACTGAATATGGGATCATGGCCAACACAGCCCAGTCCCTCCCTACCTTCCGGGGTTGTTGGGAGGCCTGGCTGATGCATGAAACCCCTTAGGCCTTAGCCAGGTGTCAGGCGCTGATGGTGCCTAGTGGATGTGCTTGGGTTGGCTTAGAGTGACCCCTACTGGGAGAAGGCCTGAACAGCAACACAGAGCATCGGGGTTGCTGTGCAAAAATTCTCCAGGACAGTGTACTCATCTGCTTCAGAGGACATATATGCTTAGGGGATTTGTACTTTAAAATTATTGTGAAAATATCACCATATTAAATTGTTAATGTACAGGGATTGTATTTATTATCACTGCATGTAGTTCTTGAGGGGCTACCATGATAACACATACAGAGTATTTTGAAAGTGTAAAGGGTTACATGAGTGTGAGGAATTTATATTCTTTTAATTAGAAATAATGTGCAGTATTTATAGGACAACTTATTAGGAAGCTCAAATGTATTTATGAATGTTGATTAATCTAGAGACCGTTTCTCTTTCGGAGAAGTTAAGTAATTTTTATCCTGTTGATAGAGATTGGGTCCATGCAGATGTTCCCTCTTCAGTGAGCTTTCAGGTTAAATGATGTTATGCGCCAATCCTGGATTGCGCTGACTGG